TCAGCAATTGAGGGCTCCTGTCGACTTTTCCTTTATAAGGGGGGGGATCAATCTCGAAGGTTCGTGTCGACTTTCCTTTATAAGTCTCCCGGAACCCTATACCTTAAGTTTCCTGTTAAGTGGCTCATGGCCTCTTTCAGGATTGAGGGTCGCAGGCTTTGACGGTTTCTAAAGTGGGCTGTACGTGGAAGGGTTTCTTTCATGGCTTTGTAGGGTTCATGGGGTCGACGGTCTAGTACGCCTCAGCTATGGAAAACATAGCCCTCGGGCTTTCCGGTAGGGCTTGGAGTTGCTACCCAGAGTCGAAACTCATGTAGACACATGATTACTGAGCCCCCTAGTCCCTATGACAGGAGGCAAGACGTGTGAATCAGGGAGTCTATATTACTCTGTAGCCTAAAAAAACCCTGAGGACTCAAGCCCTTTCAAGGAGGAACCCTAAGCCCTTAAACCCTACAAGACCCCTAAACACCGATACTGGTGAGGGCTGTTCCAGTCTTGGACCCTTTGTGGAAATCCATGACGCACTCATCGCTAAACCTTAAACACCTAAACCCTGAACCCTAAACCCCTAACCCCTAAACCTTAAACCCCTAAACCCCCAAACCCCTAAACCCTAAGCCATGAACCCTAAACCCCTAAACACTAATGAGACCTGGTCAGCCCGATCTGAAACAGTCCGTGCATAGGACGTCATGCTGGCTACAATAGCTAGAGAGGCCTCCTTCATTACAATATACGGTTTAGGGCTTGGGATTTAGGGTTTAGGGTTTAGGGTTTTAGGGTTTATAGGGTTTAGGGTTTAGGGTTTTAGGGTTTAGGGTTTAGGGTTTGGGATTTACCTATAGTCTCCATTGTAGTCCCTTGTTGGGGATACCTTATAAAATCCTTAATATATATTTGGTTAAACCAAAAAAAGGAACTACAATGGAGACTATAGGTAGGGTTTAGGGGCACAATATTTATTATGGTGATGATGTGGGGGCTTTACCGGATGCTAATTACGAATAATTCTTCCCACACTTCTATATCTCAAAATCTTCTAGGGTTGTACAGCCGCCAAGGAAAGCATTGCAAATAACAAGCCCCACACGCTAAACCCTAATAGTCCTAATATCCCAAACGCTGAAACTAAACTTTAAAGCCAAAGCTGTAACATACCAAGACCAAACCCTAAGCCCTAAACCCTAAACCCAAAGCCCAAAGCCCTAAGCCCTAAACCCTAGACCCTAAACCCTAAACCCTAAACCCTGAACCCCTAAAGCAAACTGCGGCAGTGGGGCCACGTCATCCTGCGGCGCCAGATCAAAGCTCTGGAACTCCGCATTGATGTTGCTCAGATTTCCTGGGCTTAGGGTTTAGGGTTTAGGGCGTTTAGGGCGCTTAGGGCGTTTAGGGCGCTTAGGGCGTTTAGGGCGTTTAGGGTTTAGGGTTTAGGGTTTGTGGTTTAGGGTTTAGGGTTTAGGGTTTTAGGGTTTAAGGGTTTAGGGTTTAGGGTTTTAGGTCTTCTTCGGGAGCTGCCTCAAGATTGCGGTTTAAGCTGCCGCACAAGTGATAGTACACAGTAGTAGGCTGTCCTTGCCAGTACCATGGTAACTTGCACGAAGCTCCTAAACCCTAAACCCTAAACCCTAAATCCCTAAACCCTAAACCCCTAAACCCTGAACCCTAAACCCTAAGCCCTAAGCTCCTTCTATGACAAGAACCAAGGATCCGGCTGCATGGCACTTCTTCCGGATCAGCATCTGGACATTCTGAGACAGCACTGACATCAGCGATCCAGGGCGCCTGGACTCCAAGTGGCTGCGAGTCCCCTCCAGGGCCTTCCTCACAGTCGCCTGGGCTTAGGGTTTAGGGTTTAGGGTTTAGGGTTGAAGACTGCAAGTTGAATTAACATATAAGGAATCCATACCACAATAAGGGAACCATGTCATGTAGACCCCTACTACGAAACCTTATCGTAAGCTCCTTCACCCTAAACCCTAAACCTAAACCCTAAACCCTAAACCTTCACAAGAACCCAGTCGCCCTTGCCGCGGTTTCTACTCCCACCACCGCAGGCGCGGTGTCCGCAGCGACCGGAGACAGCGCCACCGAGGAGAGGCTGTCGGAAACCCTGGCAATGAAGTCCTTCAAGCTGGCGGACATACCTGGTTAGGGTAGGGTTTAGGGTTTGGGGTTTGGGGTTTGGGGTTTAGGGTTTAGGGCTGAGGGTTTGGGGGTTTAGGGCTCGGGGGTTTAGGGTTTGGGGTTTAGGGTACCTGGCTGGTGGACATACCTGGTTAGGGTTGAGGGCTTGGGGGTTTAGGGTTCGGGGTTTAGGATACCTGGTGGACATACCTGGTTTGGGTTGAGGCTTGGGGGTTTAGGGTTCGGGGATTTTGGGTTTGGGGTTTAGGGTGCCTGGCTGGTGGACATACCTGGCTAGGGTTGAGGGTTTGGGGGTTTAGGGTTCGGGGGTTTAGGGTTGGGGAGGGTAGCTGGTCACTTCTTGAAGGACGGCTCCAACAACCTTCTTGATTCGCTGCTTCTTGCGACGATGTTTAAGGAAAATTGTAATAGGGTTAGGGGTACACTGTTCTGGAACTGGGTAGTTCTCTAAATCATGGTTCCTTTTAGGGCCCTTCTTATATGGGGTGCCGAACTATATCGGGGACCTTTAAAGGGGACCCTAATTTAGAGAACTACCCTTGTAGTACCCCGAAATAGAAACCCTATAGAAATCCTTATAGATGCCTTTAATTAGGAACCCAAAGAAGGGACCCTAATTTCGAGCACCACCCAACTGAACATCGGGCCAAGGCGCGGGTAAAAATCACCTTTTCCGCCAGGGTGGTCTTGGCCTCATCAAGGATCCTGGCCATCGCAGCTTGCCAGTCGCCCGTCCTCCCGGGTATTTCAGGACGAATTCACTGGGCCTTCGTTCAATTATACCATATTATACGGATATATTCCTAGATATCCCTACCCTATATTCGATCCACAGTGGCTCGGAATCACAGTCTTCTTGCATGTCACTGTTTATTGATGAAAGCTTGATTTGTGGAATCTCCGATAACGCATTACGCATTTCTTCAATACGGGTCGGCGAGAGTGTTTAGGTTTTCGGGCGTTAATGTATGGGCCTTAATAATAATTAGAACTAGAATAGGGTTATGGGGTATATTATACTATAACTATAATAAGGAACCCCCAACATAGCATAGGTAGTTATTTAGGCCCCTATATATTAGGTTTGAGGGTGAGGAGATGGAAGATCATGGAAGGAAACCTCCAAGCTAGAGACCAGCATCGCTCAAACACTTCGAACGACTGAACAACACCTCCTTAACAGCACATATCACGGCAGTATACGCAGCAGCAGCAGCAGCAGCAGCAGCAGCAGCAGCAGCAGCAGCAGCCGTCATCGAAGTCAAAACTGCAAAACAGGGAGCAAAAGTAGGACCAGAAACGTGAGAGAGGCGCGTGCTGGACATAGTGTGGTTACAACCCGCAGGACAAGCCGTCGTAGTTGTGGAATAACAGAAATGATACTCGTGTTGCCGTCCTCAATTGCACCAGGGCCGTCCCAGATGATTTCTTCATGTGGGCCTTGATAGTTGCAGCAGCTTCATCAGCAGCAGCCGCGACTGCTTCTATTGCATGAACTGCCGATGAATCCAAGTGCTTCTGGACCTGCGACACTGGCGATAATGCGACAACGACTTGTGTCCCTAAGCCCCAAACCCTAAACCCCAGCAACCTTGAAGACACCCTCCCGGGAAGAAGCAACAAGAACCGCTTAACCTCAAGCTTCCACTGTGTCAGTCCGATCCTCAGACTAGAAGGTCCCTCCAACGTGCCTCTCTGATGGCGCTTTGTGCTTCTTTTTTCGCAAGTGGCGTTCCCATCGAACTCACCTTGAGCTTCTCTTCCAGCTTCACTGCAGCGAATGAGAGAGTGCTGGATGTAAGCTTCCCAAGCTCCGTCGCGAGAATGGCCCGAGGTGCAGCCATGAACTGCTCCATAAGCTCGTCATTCTCGGCATCGAGGTCGTCTGAGATCCGCTGCACGATCGTCGCCACGGAACGCCTACTCAGGAGCACGAGCTTCCTCTGCGCATCGTGCTGAAGTCGCTCAGCCACCTCTGCCTTCTCCTCGGCGCTCATGCTGAGGGCCACAGCTCCTTGGTTGGATCACAGGCCGCCTATAGTCTCCATTGCAGTTCTTTTTTTTGTTTAACCAAATATATATATAAGCTCGCCCCCCCCCCCATGATCTACCATCGGTGGTTCTGGGGAGTGGGGAGAACACGCACAGTAATGTAACTGAAACTGTTCCAAGCCGGAACTCTCCTGCTGCGTTGTTATACTGTACGATATGTGATGCCGTGTCGTCTATTGTGTGTTCATGTATACTAAGGCCCTTACACGTC